TTAACAGTATCATTGCCAAATGGCTGGTTTATTTTTTGGACTATTTTGGCAGCGCTTTGGTTCAAAGGCGAAAAATTAAAATTTGACAATTCTCTATCGATCACAATATACCACAACACCCCAATCTACCGTTTGAAATGAGTCTGGACATGGCAGATCACCTCGTGATGTAATACAAAGGCCAAGGCGTAAACGCATTTGCGGCGCCGAGGCCAAACGAAGAAAGAGAGCGAAGGAGGCAGGATTGGCAGCAACTATAAGTGCACCTTCCTCCTCCCCCATTTCACCTCGAACAGCAAGGGCACTTCCTGTGGTGGGCACCAAAAGCTCCGTCTTGAATAAAGGCGAGGAACCAGCTGCCCCTGCAGGAAAGCTCCCTCACTTGTGCACCTCCACGGGGGAACCCCAAGAAGGTTGAAGAAGCCGCGCAACGGCAGTAATGTCGCTTCACCTTCCAAAACCTTCGCGGAGGCCACCGTGAGACACCTCAAGGTTGCCAAAGAGAGTGTGTGTTCGGCGAGTCTTGGCCTACACCTGTCAATATAAAGGAAATGTATCCTAGTGACCTGTCCACCTTCCTGGAAAGGACAGGATGGACGATGACTCAGGAGGACAACTCCTTGGAAAGATGTACAATGGGTCACATGTGGCTCAAGTTCTGTGGGTCTACACTCACCCTCCCTACTCTATAGAAACAGATATACCACGACACAGTAAAATTAACATTTATCGAGATATGGAGCTACAAAAACAAATGACATTGAAACGGACAAATATTTTGTAACAACGTAATATGTATATAGTATTTTCCGTAAATTGTTTGCCTTCTGTGGCCCAGTTACATAATCTTAAAATGTTGCTTGAGAAAGCTACTATATGTAAAAACACGTATCGCGGTTTTGTAGCCGGTCGGTAGCCAGGCAATTCGACGTGGGTGCTTTGTTCACTCACTAGAATTGACTGCCGTGTTGGTCGGTGGTTCAAGCCCTAGTCTGAACGATCGATTTTCACTTATGATGCACTGTTTGGAACATTTGGTGTAGTAATGAATATTACTGGAGTTTTTTCCCAACACCAAATGGTTATTTTTAACACCTCGACACGTGTTTCGATCACCATGTGATCATCTTCAAAGAGGAAGATTTTCACATGATATCGTCCAACCCGTCTTAGGAATCTCACGTTGAAAGGTAAGACCTCGTTAATCCTTAGCTCGCCCAAGTTTCGACTTCTGAGGGTTATCGTGCATAGATGTGCGACAGCTGGTTAACGAAAAAACAGATTTTTTTTCCATAGTGAAAATAAAATTAATCCCATGAGCAAGTTTATCAGTTGTAACATCTAGTAGGTATCTGCAGTTTGCCTGTGGAGTTCAATAAAAATGTTTGGGAATATTTACGAGCATTTATTGGTATTCATAAATTTTAACAATATGTGGTATGAGATGAACAAACATACAAGGTATTATTGACTGGACATTTTAACACTTCTTTTTATTTACAATAATATGAGCATTCCTCGTTCATATCCTAACAGTGATATAACAGAAAAATGTATACAAATCCATAGAAAATGAATAATATTGTTCCGTACTTGAATTTTGAACAATATCACATTTTTAGGAACATATTCAGATAATATAATTTATATACAAAATAACACAATTTTCTAACTAATGTACACAGTCATGTTCAAAATAGATTAGCTTGACAATCTTCAATTGTTATTGATTATTCCTATCTGTCCTTTATTACCAGTGGCGTATCCAGAGGTATTTTTGATACATTTTTGTAATATAAGAAATTGAAATGATATTTTTGTTTCATTTCTGGAAACGCCTCGTTGACGAATATGCGTTTTCCTGTACCCCGGTTTTGGAAATCCAAAATATATACAGCACACAACATTTATTAGGAAAGATCAAAATAATAGAATTCTACCACAAATGTTACAACAGCAGATTGTTTATCAATGTCAAAGGCACTTTTTACAGTACTTACAATAATTATTACATTGGCAATAATGGAAGGTATGAGTTTCATGAATATTCTACAATATATTTACAAAATGGAAATTCATTGATAGATAGTGAGAAAACAAAGCATCATGAATTGAAGTGGTATCTGAATTTAAACTACATTACCTAAGATTGTATGAGAGTGGAATTTGAATGCAAACTAAGCCATCAAATTTGTTCATTCACATCTAAATTTATTGTAATACCCTATTCGTCCGATTTTTACTACGAGTAAAAACTGTGAGAGAGTAGGTATAGTTCCCAAAGTAAAGTCAATTACAACAACATGAATGAAGACACCATTTTCAGTTGGATATTCATAAGTCTTCGTTTCACCTATTAGTAGAAAACAATTAGTTGACACCAGAGCCAGAAAAATAGAGTATTATTGCTGTTTCGACCAGCTATTTGTCCCATCAGTGGTGCTAAGAGGAACCATACATTAAAAAATGAATTAATCAATTGAGTATTTTTAATAAAGACACTTCCGAAGGATCAACTTCATTATATTTCAGTATATGCGTATGATTGGTAGATGTCGACTGTGTAGTTCACATATGTTATAAATGAAGTTTTATCAATGTAGAATAAAGAAGAAGAATAATAGGTTGGGAATAAATAACAGTTCGGGATGAAACACGTTCACTTTTTCCTTTGTATCAGATGTGAGATATTATGTATTGTAAGCTATTAAATATAGCAAGGAAAAGCAAGGAATAAATCTCACTTTATAAGAAAAAAACTATCCGGCATTGGATCTAGATCAACCTATTCGAAAAATAATTGTTCGAGAATGTGTGTGAATAATCATGACAACCAAAACAAATTATGTTCACTGGATCCTGAATAAGAGTTTTGTTGATTTTTTATATTTTTTGTAACCATGAGAATCCATTTTATGTGATGCATTCTAATATTGAGAATTGGCAAAGCATATAAATTGGTGTGAACTCAGAATCAAGGCGTTATTTAGTTATAGAGCTGAGTTTCGTTTAGTTCTGATAAGCGTGATCAACTTACTGCTAAATTATGGAAACTCATTATTTTCTGAAGATGACTTTTCTGTATGAAAATATTACTTAAGGGTTTGTTCAACTTGTTAGTATTACTTCTTGCTTTGAATTTTGTGGAAATATGTGAGTTTTAATAGAAATATATTTTTTAAGGATACCATTTCAGGGGCTACCTTTATTTCCTTCAAGAATCTGTGATAAAAACTATAGAAAAACTCACTTCAAATGCATAAAATATCAATTCAAGTGTCTTCCGAAAATGAATGACAGTTTCAGCATACAGAGTAGACAGAATGTTAAGAATTTCACTTGGTGTAAAATTTTCCCACTTCTGCGTCCTTTTTCGACAGAGGTAGGAGTCAAAATTAATTCAAGATGATATTGTATTCTCATTTCCATTCAAAAGTTAATTTTTTTGCATTATGTTGAGTTCCAATTATTTTAGCATTGTCTCAACTCATCATACACCTATTTCATCATCTCTTGTTGAAACATGTTTTGTCAATTTGGAATTTTCTACATTTCCGTTTTTTATCAGAATTTGTTTCACTATTATATGTTTCATAGACACTCTGAAGTATATATCTAAACATAATTATTTAACTCTTTGTTTTCCGATTGCCGATTTAAAATGAAGGCCTCATATTATCTTGTATGTGTGATCAGACACTTTAAGACAATTCAGAATGAGACATTATGAACACAAAAATTACACAAAAACCTCAGTAAATTTGATAGATTGAGAGTGTTTTGCAAGAACCTCGTCTGATTTCTTGTTGACTCAATTACTGAGCATTATTATAGTGAAATCGTTCTTCTGGGCCAATCTTAACCAATAGTTTCCTCAAAAAAGAGCTTGCAAACAAGTATGTCATACTACCATGATGCTGATACTATAATCGTATTTTAACAACATTCTGCCTTATGTCTGTTCAATTTTCAAGGATGGACCACCTAATTATGATTTTCTTTCTCTTGAAGTATTCATATATATGTCAAACCATCAACTATTCTGGATAAGTTTTTGAATTATTGCAGAAGAACTTTTAGAAAAACAAGTTGATAGAGAGTCAAAAATTGGTTGAAGGATCTTGGAAAGCAAATATAGTGTGCATCAAAGATATACCTCTGCCAAATCTCTTTGGTCCAATTTAGCATACTCGTATATAGGTTGGCCAAGTTGTGGTTCTGTACAACACCACAGACCTGCCTCAGTTACAGAGTTCTTCATCCATGAAATTTTGTATTTGTCAATGTGTTTTTTATCTTTTTTAGGGTTCTGATCTAGAATTCAAGTTTTTCACCATAGACATTCTCCTCTTCAATTATTCACTTCGAAAAAATGAAACAGAAGTCAAAAAATGTGTTGAATTTTTCTCATAACCCTTGAATCTGTCACGCGAGTATGTGATACTTTATAAAAAACTGAATATTATAACTTGGGTAGAATGAAAAGCCAAAGGTGTATTAACAATTTGCAAAAATCTCAGAAGATTGCAACACATAGGTATTTGATTTTGTAGGTATGAAAAGTTATTCAAATAACATACTGGAATTCAGAAAGATTATTTAAAATTATTGAAAATGGTATATGATACCAGGCTTCTTGATGCTTCAGGAAGACTGATGAGATCAAAATGTGATGAATTTTTCATTATTTCTACTCCCTAAAATTTTATTCAGTCATGTCAATTGAAGATAATTTCATGAATACCGAGTAGATAATTGAGGTTACTGGTCAATCCAGAGTTGAGAAATCGTTGTCATAATATCTGAATTAGTTCAAGCTTCGTCTGCTATTGGTTGGTGCTATGTGTGTAGAATCATTTTTTTCTAGTTCTGGAATGTGGTTACACTCCGAAAATAATTTTGTTTTACATGAAGTATATTATTAGACTAGACACAACAAAAATACTTTCTCACAGTTTATACTCATCTTGCCTACTATAACGAAATAAAAAAAAAACAAATAAAATAAAATAACTTTAATTCTAAAAATGAAACTTATACAAACTCTAGCTGAAAATGTACAAACTATATTAACAAAACTAAAACTTAATTTTTGGGGATTATAATGAAGAAATAAATACCCTGCTAGTATAAACAAAATAAATGAAAAAAAGAAATTCTGGATACAATAACGATTTTTTACAAAAGTGTATTTAGAATGCTTTGGTTGATTGATTGGACTAGTAAATTATTTCCGATGAAACAAATCCTAGAAAATAAATATTTACACGTAAAACTTAAAAGATATTTACAAGAAATATATGTTCAAAGATGAAAATACAAAATAAACCGTACATTGGATAAATCATAACAGTAACAGCGATATCGATTAACGTACATTGTTTCAGATCACATTTTGATAAACTACAACTGATTATCAGTTAGCAAATAAAGTTTTTCAGTAATCGTACTGAAAACATAAGGCGTATTACTCAAAAACTACTAAAGCTAAGTATAAAATGAAATCATTTTTGATTATTGTCCCACTGAATTCGTGGACGATTAAAAAAAACTTAATCATATCTTCATTACACTTACTAGTTATTCCCCAGTTATTATACACATCCGCGGCTGAGTATGCAATGATATTAACTTTTTAAAAATCACATTATTCGAGTATCGTTCGAGTCTCACTATGTACAAGCAGTCTTCACTCCATTCCGTAACATCTAATAAAATCGGACAAAATACTCTCTCGGGCTGAAAGAACTTTACAAAACAAACAAAATTTCTTCCGAATCTCACACAAGATGTCCTTCCTGTTCGTTCACGCCGTAACCGTTACCGAAACTGGACAGCTCCCGTTTCTGGGCGAGAGTTTGGGCTTGTAAAATTTGGGCGTTCTGGCTAGTGTTGTGTAAAACGTCTGGAGGCAGAACGCCCCTCTGGTGACGCAACAGAGATCCGTTAGATGGCAGCGGAGGCGTGATCGGCACGTGAGTATGTGTGATGTGCGGATGTGCAGGTATAGGTGGCGCTGATTGGAAGTCCAGTGGAGGGGGATACGACAGGTATCGGTCAGACATGTTGAAGTACGACCCATCGGTTGGTGGAGCTGGAGATGGTGCGCTCACGTAAGAAGATTTGCCTGAAAAATTTGTATAATGAACACCTAGCTCTCATGTTGTTACACTATTCATTGGTGAGTCATTTTGAGTCCCTATCATCAAATTCATAAAGGATAATTTGAAAGTGAACATAAAACCTTTTTGAAGACTCCAGTTTAATCTTCCTCTTGAAGATGATCACTTGGTGACCGAAACACGTGTCGAGGTGTTAAAAATAACGATTTGGTATTGGGAAAAAACTCCAGTAATATTCATTCTTCGTTAACAACTGAATTTATTAACATTAGGGAATCAGAGAGTAATTAACAATATGTGCTCCTAAAACAAAATTTTAACAGAGCTTATCCTTTGTTGAGTTGAATGTGAACAGATGAATCATTCTGAAGGCATCATAAGATAGGGTAGATACATCTGCTTTCATTATGAAAGAACAATATTCATGTAATTATATTGATACTTGATATTATATCAAAATTATAATGATATAGAACCACAGTTAATAGTATATTATGCAACGATCATGTAATGATGGTTATCAAGACACGAGCATTAACCGGGATACGAAACGAGCCGAAGGTGAGTTCTGTATGGTATATGCGAGTGTATTAATAACCATTACATGAGAGTGGCATACGCTATTTTTTCTAAACCCGATAAATAATGAAAAACTATAAATATTATATTTGTATTGAACACATTTACAGTAATTAACTCATATTTTTTTAAAAAAACACAAACTTAATGGTATTACCATGGATATATGAAAACTATAAAGATTCTAATTATATTTATATTGAATATAACAAATGTAATTAATCTGATCTTTTAAAAATATTGGAGTCGATGGTATTCCTTCTATATCGCTGTTTTCAGACATTTTGATAATATAGGTAGATAATATGAAAACTGATGTTGACAAATAAAGCAATTGGTTACTTAGGTTAGAATCTAGGACAAACAAAGGAACAGGATTTTTGATTGAAAAATTATGGGTTTCTATTGGTTGATAATCTGTATCGTTATGAAAAATCTGTATCATAATGGATATCATTATGAAACGGATTATGGTCATATAAGTGTACTGTAGAGTACGGGTGTAGGAAAAACAATAAATCAACCAAATCTAACCTACTACAGTGTAAATTGCAATTGTCCTTTGAGTTGTGACAGTTTTTCAAACTAACTTGAAGGTATCACAAAAAAAAGGTCGCCATTCACGAACTGATGACAAAATAGTAGTGGAAAATTCGGACTAGATCATGTCTGATCTATTACTTTATAGTTTTTCATTGATTGAACATCTTTAAACTTTAATTGAAATACAGCAAATAAATGCTGATGATAAAGTGTCAGATGCTAATTTTTCAACTTCTCAGTAGTATTTTGATTGTATGTGCAGAAGTTTATTCAACATTACTTCCTTAATGATTGACTATTTACAAATTGTCCGTGGTCTGCAAGTTTTTAAACCTGACTTTTTGTCTTCTACTATAGCAGTCATTATCAAAGGTGATGCTCAATTTGTTAATAAAACAGAAATTAACAAGTTAAAAATAAAAGAATGGTAATAACTAAAACAGTGAAAACATTAACAGAGAGGGTTTTGCCTATAATCACTAGGCGCTTGCAAAATGACAGAGAACTCTTGCACCAAGATGTTTTTACACATAACATGACTTTCTCACTTTTTTCAGTGAACTAACCTAACCCCCTTAAGTGGATTTTAACTGCCAAAAATTAGAGTATCGCCATTCTGCAACCTTTACCTGGGATGTTAAATGAAGTCTACTCAATTTTCTCCCTTGGTATTGCTAAGAGAGCTCAATGAAACAGTTCTGAATGAACAAACAAATTGGCATCTGCTTCCTAACTCAGAAAATGATTGAAATCTGCCTTTCATTTGGTAGAGAATACATCTGTACCTTGCGTTAGAAGTTGAGTAATATGCGCAATACTAAAAAAACTCGTAGAAGATTAATAATTACCTGACATGCCACCATGGTAACCTAGACTTTGGTCATCTCTCGCTCTGGGTCTCTGATCATGTTGATGGTGATGATGAGGATGAGGCAGGGTATGCGTCTTGTGAGCCATACTGATACCAGTTTGTACAGGCATCTGCATTTCATAAACTGGATATGCCCCTGGGTAATCTGGTTGATGATCCATCAAATAGGTGTTTGGCGGAGGTTTGCGACTCTCGTCCTGCAAAGACATTACAACTTTCATACAACTACCACATGAAATACATTTTGTGAGATGTCATTATGAATGCTTGGTTGAAATTTCCATTACTGTGAATGACAAAAATAAAGATCTATGGAAGATACAAAAGTTAACTTTACCCATAGAAATACATAAATGAACTCACTGTGTAGTCATGATGACTGCCCTCATTGCTGTAGGTTTCACTTTTTTCACTAACAGAAGAAAGGGTTTCCCCTGTCACAGTGTCGTTGTAGCTGCTTGGTGCATACATTTCAATGGTGGCAGATTTGCTGGTTTGATTATTTTGCTCTGTAAAAAAGAAAAGCTTAGATAATTTCATGAAGTCAAATTTGTTGATCAATGTACCACAAAAAAATACAATTTGTCAAATATACTGTTGGTTCTTTGAAATCGACTGTGTTATTTAATTCCAGCAATCACTAATCGTTTTCATCATCCCTTAAATATATCTTCGGGTAAAAAAAGTTTTTTTTATTTTCATAAATTCTTCATTGGAATTGCGTCCAATGGTTAAATTTGTGGAGAAATCTCAGGAGTATAAAATACAAATCTAAGTCTTTACTAACGTTTCGCGATCATATTTATCGCTTCTTCAGAGCTGAGGCGTGAATCATAGTATGTATACTACCAGGTCTGAGGAATATTGTGCATTGTCAAAATGCTTCTGTCGCGTACAGATAATTGCAATTGAATAAGTTTCAATGAATAAAAAACAAATTAAAAATTGTTATTGTTGCTCCAGCAATCCTACTGTTAGTTTCATGGATTTATTTTATTTATTATTGCTTATTCATTTACCATTTATAATGCATTGTCACAATGCACAATATTCCATAGACTTGGTACTATGTACTATGATTTATGCATGAGCCATAGTAAAAAATCAACCAGTTAGTCCACTCCGACTACTTTCATTCATAAATTCACAAAGTAACAGTTCCGTGGTACCGTCAAATCCTTCGATACTACAGCACTGAACGCGTTGGATGAGAATCTCATCGTAAGAGCGGTTGAAGGTCCCGGCAACTCAGGCGATCACGTGGTAAGAGAGCCTATATAGTTGTATTATTCTATTGTGTCTGAGCTTTGAGGAAGCGATAAATATGATCGCGAAACATTAGCAAAGTCATAGATGTTGTATTTTATTGTCCAATACCCTGTGATTCCCCAACAAATTCATGAATTCTATATAACGCGTATCCCTATAGTGCGTATTTGTTCGATATATCGATAATGCGAATAGATATGAAAAAAAGTTTTGAATGAAAGTTATGTGGCATCGGGAAGGCCACATTCTGAATTAAGTTTCAGATGTACAGGGTGTTGCGTTTTTCTGTAAGGGCAATAATATACATTTTTCAAATGATCTCATAATTTCCTACTCAGCGGTAAATTTGTTTTCAGCTGTTGAAAAGTTAATGTTTTTTTTTTGTAATTTGGAAGTGAAATCAGCTCTGAAAGTTGTTTGGTGAGGTGGCTTAAAAAACACCAAAATGGCATGTAACGCCACGCTCTGAGGAACATTTATGTTTATACAGGGTGCTTTAAATGTCACTTTGATTTTCGTAATCTTCAATTGAAGTGAATGTGATTTTTTAAATGGAACTAATGTACATTTCAAATTTGAAACAAATAAAAGACGGTAATCACACTTATGATACATTCTCAAAATGACTTACATCTTGTACTGTGCATTTCCTGAATCCCTTTAAAAAGTTTGTTCTCACGCGGCTCAAATTGAAAAGCATAATACGCTAAAATGCCTCCCAAATATTCAAATTCACGTTGTCTTGTGTAGTAGCGACAATACAGTGAATCTCCGATTTTACTGTTCCTCATTCATACAAATCCATTGATGTTAGGTCCGGTGACTTCGGCGGTCAACGAGTAGGTCCTTCTCGTCCAATCCACGTATCAGTATACATCACATCCAACTCCCCTCGTACTTTTCTGAGGAAATGTGCTGGTGCCCTATCTAACTGATGTCACATTTTATCTTTGTTGTGATTCGGTAGGTGTTTGATCAACCTGGGAAAAACTTTTCAGAAGAATCGACTCTCATTCAATTTTCATTCAAAATAATATGGTCTGGCAACATAAGTATCAACAATACTACCCCATTCACTGGGACTCCACTCGAAGTGGTGATCATTAACATGGAGTTTAGGTGGATTTTTGGTCCATGATAATGGTAATTCGTAAGGTAATTTTGTTGGAAAACATGATGTTGCTCAGAAATCTTTCATTTTCTATAATTATATTTTGCTAACAAATAACTGGTTCAATAAATGGAGGCTCCAGCCAAACCCATCTAAGTCTCAGTTCATCATATTTGATCATCGAAATTCCGCAACTTCTCCAACAATCAACGTTTTCCAACATATCTTACATGCCAAATCGACAGTTGATTACCTAGACTAAATTTCAACAGCCATGTTAATAACAAAAAAAAGAAAGTGATTGCAAGAGCCGCACATTTCACAAGTTTGACAAACCCGGGAGCAGGTGCAAACATATCAACAGCAAGCCTTTTAATCTGTCGTTCACTTATTGAATACTCGCACCCACTGTTTCTCAATATCAAACAAAGGGCCTTGAAAACACTTAAAGTGTCTGAAACAACGGCTATGAGGAAAATAACAAGATTAAGGCATCCCAATAACTCCAAACACAACCCTCCAAACCCTCTGCTGTACCAACTCACTGGTATTATCCCTATCGAGGAAAGACTATTGTCACTTATTCAGAAGTTTGCTAGAAGAGATGACAATGTAGAAATCATTAAAAAGTATGCTGTGACAAGAAACCCCCATGCAAGAGTACGACATCGACACCCAACAGAAGCACTGTTAGGAAAATTAACGCAACTTTATCAATGAAACTGTTTTGTTTGTTCATTTTTATATCCATATAATATTTTTTTTTATATTGTAAAATAAGCCATGTTATTTCAAAGCAATTTTGTTACACGGGCGGAAGGACTTCAGTCGATAGCCAGTTGAACAAAATTGTAATAATGTACAATAAATTACAATTATTATTATTATTATATTTTGCATCCGACAAAAAAATCTGCTTCTATCAAGTAATGGTAAAGCCGTATTTCATTCTGACTCAGCTTAACTTCCAAATTTTACCATAAAATCAATAACAACACTATATTTTATCTGAAAACAATTTCAATCCGGGTAGGGAACTACAGAATCCTTTTACTGACGTTGAAACAAAATGCTACACCCTGTATATCTGAAACAAATTATGAAATGTGGCCGTCCGGGTACCATAACTTATTCATTTGAATCACTTTTTTACATATTTCTTGTTATTGTTCTATCAAGTTCACCTTTTTTGGGACACCCGGTGGTGTTGGACAAAATTTTGCAAGATGATTATTGGTTAGTTTTCTTTCTGTAAATGATGAACAAACCTCTGATTCTTTTGGCTCTCCTTTTGAGCATACAGCCAGCTACCAATCCAATGTTTATGAATAGGAGAATAACACCAACAACCGAAACACTTATAATAACTATCCTGGGCAAATCCTGTTTCTCCAGCAACTCGTCTGGTATGACTTTCTCAACTTGATCGCCAACAAACACTGAAGTAAATAAAAAAATTAAATGTTTTCATTACCTGTAACTCTTTTTTTTGATCTTCTATGCAAGCAGCAACCAATTAGGAGGACGTTCATTAGTATCAGGAGGACACCAACTATAGTGCCAAGAATCATCAGGAAACCAGGAAGAGTCCTAGCAGTCTTTTCATCCAGGCTTGAGGAGGTATACGAAGGAGGAAGTTTACCTGTTGTTAGTATTTTAGTGACGGGTGGAAGGAAGCATGGAAAAAATATTGGATTGTGTTAGTTTTATAGGCACATGCTTCTACAATAATTTTATTAAATTCAAGTTGAATTCATAAAGCATAGGTACATTCTAATCAAATAACACTCTATTGTAAGATTTTAACTTGACAGTTTTCAGAACCACAACACGTGTTTCATTGTACAATAGCTACTCCAGGCATAATCAGTATTAGTCAGGCCAGAAGAGGTTGGTGTGATATGAGTTGTGGTTTTGTGAACTGTCAAGCGAAAATTCTGAGTACAGTGTTATTCATAAATACATTATAATGGATAGAGTAATAAAAATAGTTTCATTACATAAGCATACATTTTATATTCCTTTTAAATTTCGAGATTTACATAATTTTATGTAGCATATAGTATTCAATTTGCCTCCAAAATATGAAGCAGATATAATAATATAGATGATAAAATGTATTTTGTATTGAGTGATTCCTGCCAAAGGTTATTTGCCATCTCAGTTCGATATATTTTTGTAGAGCAGAGAGAGAGAGAGAGAGAAAGAGAATATACTTTTCATGGGAATGACAGACCTGGTATAAGATTAATGCCAACAAAACCTCTAGTAGGAATTATTTTTATGCTTCCCTGTATATTATCAAGTCATGTGAATTTTCAATACATGTTACTATCCTTTAGTTTGCTCGAGAATTTGTAGGCTCCTATTTACTGAATCTATTTATTACAGGTTTTCCAGAAAACTGATTGATGAATAAAGTAAAGAACTATCTACCAATATATTAATAGTAGGTATTAACCCAATTGAACAATCTAATGGCTGCTTTGGAAGAGTTTTCCCAATCTTATAGTATTGGATTGATAGATGTGAAAATCTTCTCACTCTATAAATTAGTTGACAATCTAGTTTTGTGATACTAATTACAATTTTTTGGATACTATGGTTATTTTATTCGTCATTTTCATCTTAATTGTCTTCATAATTTTTTTGTATTCGTTTTTTTTTGATGACCTGCTTGATTCCTTCAATATCATTATTGATATTTTCCTAATTGGCTAATCCCTTCAGCTAAAGTTTGACAAAAATTCCAAAATTACTCTCCTGTTGAAATTTATATGCTTTATGAATCTATCTATATACTATTAAGACCAAAAAATATAATTTTTTATTGTGATCATAACAAAAGGGATTGACTCAACGTGAAATAAATAATATTCTAAACCAGGGGTTCCAAACCGGCGGTACGCGTACCATTGGTGGTACGCAGGAACGTTTCAGGTGGTACGCGTCAGGAATGGAGCGACGAGAGCTGTATCCCCCCCCCTTTCCCCACACCTACATTCTTCCGCCTCACAATATTGCCAGTGATTGTGCAATGTTTATATGTTGTTGTAATGGTTCGTTGTGGGTGTTGAAATAATTAATTGTGATTTCGTATGAGAAAACTGAACTATGAAACGATATCTGAAGTCGTCTTCTACTTCAAATGATTGTGCTTAGAAACTTATATCACCGGCCAATTGTTTAGAATCTAAACAACGGTATACATCCATGACCAGGTAGTACGGGATATCCAGAGGGGTGAGAAGAAAGGTATATTCAAAGCTCAGAAGCAGACTCCTATAGTAGTTGAGACACGACTAGAAAACAATTCAAGTAACGGCGATGACATTTTTCCATACGTAGAAGCCATCTATGGGATAGATTGAAAACTTAATCATCGAATATCAAAATTAAACGAGGCTCCCCAAGGTGGTCAGTTGAAAAGCCATGCTTCAACATGAACCATCGAAGAGATTCTTGTTCTTTCTTTCACTGCAGCTTCAACTGTTAGGCCCAAACACAACGCATTTATGTCTCAGTTAAGTGCAACAATCCATTTGCAGTTCAGCACAGCACCAGTGATTAAAATCTATTGTGAGACGAAATGGCGCTGTCTAGTGTTGAATCACACATCTGTTGTGCTTGGTCATTGATTCACAACGACTTTCCTTGCAGTGAAAGCTGCAGTGAAAGTCAGAGGACGACTCTCGTCGGCGACCGATGTCGAAAACTTGGTCTTGCAACTGACCGCCCTAGCAATCCTCGTTTATCTTTGATATTCGGGAATTCAGTTCTCTGTCGATCCCATAGATGGCGTCTTCGTGAAAGGAGATGGCGTCTTCGTGAAAGGAGATGTCATTGCTCAACTCAACTGTCCTTTAAGGACAGTTGAGTTGAGCAATGCATTTGTGGTTCTGGTTAGCACCACTGATGAAACCTATGGCAGGTAGAAACAGCGCTCCCTGGTGTTGAATCACAAATACGTTGTGTTTGGGCTTTGGTTTTCAGCTAATTCAGAGGAGTAGACACTTTACTATTTTTGGGAAGACAAATTTCAGAAAATAGAAGAGGTTTGAAAGTGTTAAAGTCTACCTGCAGTTATGATCTTGATAGAATGTGAGTGGTAGTCATTAGAGATAGCACTACAAGCTGGAATGTCCACTTACTTGACGTTTTGGCCGACAGCAAGTCCGGCATATATTTGCTGTTTCCGAGCTTATTGGACGCCATAATCGAGAAGACATACTGGGTGTTTACCTCAAGCCCTTTGACAATATGTGTAGTTACGTTGCTACCAACAGCGTCTTCGTACTTGTATCCATCATCGTCAACCTTCCTGTACCTAACTCTATAAGCCGCCTTCATTCCTCCATCGAATCCGGGTGTCCATAGTAGAGTAACGCTGTCGTGGGTAACATTCACGACAGTTAAAAGTGTCGGTGTGTCAGGAGCAGAAGTAACCTCCAGTCGTGGAGATATAGTGGAGAAACCCAGTTCATTCCTGGCGACGCATTCGTAGAGGCCGTAGTCGGCAGAAGTTACGTGGGTGATGTACAGTGTTGAGTCTGTCGTCAGCTGATCCACCTATGAATTGAAGAAAAATAATAGAATGTTGAACGTAAGTGATTTTTTGTGGAGGAAAATTAGATGTTTTAACCCTTCCTTGGTTATTTTTACCTTCCAGAATTTTAACCCTTTGACATCTGTCGAAAAAAGCTGAGAAATGAAAAGAATCAGCAAAGGAAAAACTGCATATAAACTAAAATTTTATCCATATATGAAGGCGGAGGCAGATTTAAGCCTCCGAAACATGATTTTATGATAATGAGACCAGCCATTCTGACAAATATGTATAATTTTATGAAGCGAGGTAGAATTTCAATGTTAGGTTCACTATACTGCCATTTTTCAAGATTGCTGATTCAAGTCTATTGGTGTGAATCATCAACAGACATGAAAGGCATCTTTGATAGCAAATTTAGGCTATTCAGGATATCGCTTTACAAGTTGAATTTCATACAAACATTTTACACATGGATAAAAATATATTGTAGTATATTGGGGGATATAATTAAACCCTCTACATAAAACACTGACATATGAACATGAAAATAAAGAACTTTTCCAAACAAAAACAGAGATGCATAGCTATAATATAAGAAGAAAAGATATGATTATAACACGAAAACACCATCACGCAAAATATGAAAAATCTTCTAAATATGCCGGCATTCGAATGTAATATTTACTACCAAATGATATAAAGACTCTGTCTCCTCATATCTTCAAAAAAAAATTGAAACGTTATTTATCAGAAAAGGGTTTTTACACAGTAGACGAATTTACACTTGAAGTAAGCAATGAGCGACCGTATTTCTTTTGAAAACTTTATTTCAAAATGTCCTTGTTACCTCTCCTTGTTTATTGTTTCTAAGCAAACTGGTGATTCATATTTTTCCTATTTTTTCTATTTATATTTGAATAATGTATTTGTACCACAGAGACCTAGAATTTTATTTATATGTTTGTTTATACCTTTGTATGTTTATATGTATGCAAGTTAATAACTACAATTATGACTTATCTCATCTACACATTATGTAGCAAAAAGGATCAATAAATCTATCTATCTATCTATCTACCTCATGTGAATGTGTAATTAGTTTTGTTATGCACCATTTTTCAGTTTCGTATTGAAATGAAAATGTCTAATAAAATAACTCACAAGTTCATATGAGTAGATATATATCAAATAATTATTATAAATTACAATTAAGTTATTTCTAATAACTGCTATCATTGAATCTTACTTGTCTGTATGTGCTGTAATATTTTCCAGTCGTATTTGAAGTGATGGGAGTCCCATTTCTAGCCCATGTATATCTTGCCAATGGAGATGCTCTACTTCTACATATCAGCTTCCCAGTATCACCAGCATCAGTGGCAAACTTCAAATATTGTGGTTGTTCATCGATCTCTGGCTTATCTGTGACGAAAAAAAATTGTTTTCGAGATTCAGAATTATTGAAATAATTTTAAAATTGTTATGGGGGTCCTTTTAGTTCGGGACACAAATACATGTCAATGCTCGAATTTGGCAGGCGGATTAGCAATTTTTTATGATGGTACACTCGTCTCAAACATATTTTCACAATTTCAGCTATTCATCAGGTTCAGTTTGTTGGTGAGAGGCATAAAAGTTAGAAGTTTTTGCATGTTCCACAAATGTTTATCATCAAAAAGTATGGATCCCAGAACTTGCACTTAATTTTGAGTAAAAAAAAAACCATTGAGTACTTAAATACACTCAAAATATTGTCAGTGGCATACGGTGATTGTACTCTGAGTCGTAAAAATGTTAAAAATGACACAAGCTTTACACAGAAGGTCGCGCTGGAAGCTTTAGACCATCAACCACCGAGGAAAATATTGAGAACGTGAAAAAAATTGTTATGGAGAATAGTCGAATCACTATTAGAGAAGTTGCTGAGGATGCTTTTCGAAGATTTTGTGCATGAAGCGTGTGGCAGCGAAGTTCGTTCCAAAATTGCTCAATTTTGACTAAAACCTCGACGCATGAGCATCACTAGAAATTGTTGAATGACGTCAATGGCGATCCAGATTTGCTTAAAAGTGTCATAATTGGTGAAGAATCCTGGGTATAAAAGCAAAGTCCAATCGTCCCAATGAAATAGCCCAGGAGAGCCAAGACCCAATAAAGCACGCCAAGTTGGATCAAAAGTCAAGATTTTGCTCACAGTTTTCTTCGACCATGTGGTAGTGCCACATGGTCCGTACGATTAATAAGGAATCAATCAATCAATCCTCGCCATCGTACTCACCAGATTTGACCCCACGCAACTTTTTCCGGTTCCCAAGGTTATAGAGACTCATGAAAATACTTCGTTGTGTTGAGGATGGGAAAAAACGCTGACACAAGTGTTTTATATCTGAGGGGGACTACTTTGGAGAGGACGAAATAGAAATTAATGAAGAAATGAATATTTTTTCAGAAAAATTAAAATTCACTTCATTTGTTGAACAGCGTATAAAAAAAACATCTAATCTAACCTTACAGCTTATATCTTCAAACATAAAAATACTCACGTTTAACAATCAACATAACTTCTTTCGAGGTTGCGTTTCCCACTCCATTGTTAACGACACACAAAAAGTTACCCAGATCTTCTCGTGTAACGCCTGATATCCTGAGATAAGAGGTGCCATTTTTGTCATACATCACTGAAGTTCGGGCAGCGAATTCCGGGAAATCATCTCTTTTCCATGTAATGGTGTCGTCAGCCAGAGGATTGCCATCTGCAGTACAGGAGAGAGTGGCGTCTTCTTTTGGGTTCACTATCACGTTTTCACTTATTTGAGATATCGATGCTGGATCTGTAAAATGAATCCAATAAGAAGCTGAAGTATAATGATGGAAATGACCACAGACGTTAGCGAATAAAATGGTGGAATCAGTATTTTACATTATTGTGAAGTGAGGTTGGGATGGTTTCAACAGAAATAGAGTGATCACATCAACTGGCAAATTTTTGATAATTCAACTACGACATTTCATGAAATAATTTCAATTTACCCTTCTGTCTCAAATATAGAGTGAACAGCAAATAGGATTTATATAACAAAAGGCAAATCACCTAGTTCAGCAATTTGGACGTTATAGATCACTTTATCCAAGTACACATACGACAGTTTGTGAAATTATTATGTGATCTGTTATTTGTATCACAAGACAAAAATGTTCATTGACTTAGCTATTCAATAAAATAACGTTATGATTTGTTGAAACTGAAGACTGAAAAACGCATCAAAGATTCAGATTAGAGTTGAGACTTCACAATGATAGATGATGTCATTCTTGAAATGGAGGAGAAAACAAATGCCATTCCTATTGTATTTACCTCTGAATGAACTTATTATTATATATTTAAATGAAACTTACATTGTACAGTAATGTTGACCACAGCCAAGCTGCTGCCTTGAGAATTCAGGGCTTCACAGCTGTAGCTACCAGCATCGTGTCGACTAAGTTTAGTGATATTCAGTAGAGGTCCATCAGACACAATCCTTTCGATGCCATTTGCTGACGCAGCCTGTGTGATCGGCAACCCGTCTTTGGTCCATGTATAGGCGATATTTTGGGGATTTCCATCGGCTTTCAGTGTGATGATGAGGGGTTCGTTTTCAATTCCTGTTACTGCTTCTTCGTTGTTAGTATCAAACACTGGTTTATCTGATGAAGGAATAAATAAACTCTCTCAGAAGTATGTACACGAAAATATTGAAAAATGTTAACGATTATTTAGACTTTGTGACACAAGTATCTGTTCGTGATATTGGTTTATTGAAACTATGAAACTATGTTTATCGTTATGACCAGAATTTGTTTACTGAGAGAGATGAATATTTTTGTACAAATTGTTTCAAAATTCAACATTTTTATTTTCCTGAATTGAAAGTATTATCATGCATAATCAAGTTTTAGTGTTTTTTAGGAAATTACAGTAATATAACTATTGAAATTTTGGAAAGTTTTTTTCAATTAGAAGTTTGAGCTCATGTCAGGCGGCTATGAGATTATCAGTAGTCTGATTTAAGTTATTTACTGCAGAACTTGGCGCCCAACGAGGGGCAGCCCATTGAAAGTTTGATCATTATTCAAAGAATTGAAGAGGCTGAAGAAAAAGTACTTCGACCGTTTCTGTTCTTTTAGAATCCAGACAGCAAATGCAGAAAAAAAGCATTAACCTGTTGAATGATATGAAATTAAAATCTCCTTTTAAAAAGTGTTTTGTACAATGTTTATTGGAACAAGATGGTTACTTGATTGTATTTAGAAAGGAATATAAACTTGTTTCGTGTAACTGACCCTTTAATTGGAACATTTGAAACATTCAGTAGTGAATCAACAATGGATGGAAGATTTGTACACAAGGTGAACAATAAAGAAAAAGAATTCAATCGTGGAACATAGGGCATAACATATCAAATACTCACACAAAACTTGAAGAGTGATAGCATCGTGGACAGACCTTTGCAGAGCCTCATTATTTGCCTGACAAGTATACACTATCCCATTCATTTCCTCAGTAACGTTCACTTTCATTTCAATACTGGACACTGTACCACCATGAAGGCCCGGTTTTGTGGAATTGACCAACCCGGGAACAGGTATTCCTTCTCGCCACCAAGATAGCTTTGCTGGTGGATTACTGGAGCTGGAATCACAAATTAATATGCCCTCTTCGTTGGGCTTCAACTCCTCCGGTTCTTGCCTGATTTTCACATGGTCAGGGGGAACTAAACAAAATAAAAGACATTGATACTGCTGTAAACCACGATTTGATGTAAAAATTTGCGAAATACAAGTAAACTATTATCGATCTTGAAAAAACTTGCTAGAATGTTTAAGCAAGTCATAATCATGACTGGTTGTTGTAGATGTTTCTGTACTTTCCACTTTTTTCTAGACCAACAAGAGGTACTTCAATTACAAGACGAGGGAAAAATTGAGTGGAATAAGAGGTCAGTTGTGGTCATTTCGTGTTATGAGTTTCTGTCAGTGGTCAGTCAGGTTATTTAGTATTTTTACCTTCAGTAGTATTGGTATTTTCACTTTCATTAATGTGGGTTAAGGTAACAATATAACAAGATTATACATTTGATACTTACAATACACGCTCATGGTTAAGGTCTCAAACAATGGTATTTCTGTAGCGGAATTCGCTGCTTCACATCTGTACCTAGCTTCATTGTCGGTGACATTTGTCAAAATCGTTACTTCAGCCGTGACTGATTTTTCGGAAGTTTTCACTGTGGAGTGGATCTTTTTGTCATTTTTGTACCAAGTCATTGTCGCAAGGGGATTTCCCCCGGAGGATGTACAGGATATTTTCTGAACAGTACCAGCAGGAATGTGAGCACCTTCTGTGTAGCCGTGGATGAATGGCTGGCTGGGAGGATCTAATGAAAAAAAATTGAGTATAGGAACCAACAAATCACAATTTATTATTCTGTTGAAATTGATGTTTGATTTCGGTACTATACGAGGTCTGTTCAAAAATTTAGGTGAATGTTGAAATTTCGCGGGCTACGTACGATCGATACGAACATATTTTTATATGCTTCTTGCTTCTTGGTAATTTTTTGGCCAAAAACAACACTGTAATGATGCCTAAGCCACCATATTCACCGGATTTGCCCCCCTGCGAGTTTTTTCCCAGAAGAGACAAATTGCAACGATGATATGCAATGATGATAAAAACTGAATCACTGAGTTTTTGAACAGATCTCGTAATTTGGTGTATTTTGATTGAGTGACATATTTGTTTTTTTAACAGTGTGTTAATAGAGTGTTTTTTAATAATTTTGTTTCTTTCATACACTTATTTTGAGAACATTTCTTTGAACCGTCAATTACATATTTTTATTGAGTATTTTCGAGAATAGAAACAGACCTGATACAATTGTATCTTATCGTATAAAGTAGCCAACTGAAGACTCATGTCTATGTACTTAGACTGAGCAGAGCTTTAAAAAGAGACAAAGTCAAGAATACCTTAATCAAATACTGATATTATATGATTTCATTTGAAAGATTGAAAATTTGAAGTAAACATCATTATTGGTGGTTTTTGGTAAATTTTTGTTAATACTTTATACAGAGTGTATTTAAATTCCAAAAATGTGAGTTTTGTTGATAGGTACTTACATAAAACATTGATGGTATGAGTAGACACGACATTTTCCGTCAACTGCATATTGAGACCATGGCAAATGACAACCAAACTCCTCCTGTTTGGCTCAACAACCGTGGTTATATTCGAAGTGGTGATCCAACCCCCTTCCGGAGACATGACAGTCCTGGAGGTGGCATTCCGAACTTGTCTTCCACCCACCATCCATTTAATTTCAGCGGGAGGATTGGAATTTGCAGTGGTACAAGTGAGAGGAACAGGATCTCCAACTCTTGCTTCGGTTGGTCCAGAAATGGTAACATGCGCCGGCGAAACTGAAAATTAACTGCTATAGTATATTGAAGCAAGATATACCTTTGAGTCATAGAACTGGGTCAAGCTACAAGTTGAACTGGGTCAAGCTACAAGTTGAGCTCCACTTTCCTATGTACCTACTTGCCAAAACTGGTTAATTCAAATTCAAATTCAAATTTTTTATTTGGTTCATAACAAAGCTACAGCTTTAGAACATGTCACAAAATACCATCAAATTAACATATGCCAAAAGTAAAATATAAAATCTTCAGAAGATACAGTGCAATAAAAATAATAATACAGTACATACATACAATCGTGAAAGGCATCTTTGCTCTATGGTCCCGGGAGTGAATGGAAAAAGTCATTAATACCATATAGGGGATTTTCCGTAAGTAATGTCTTTAAATGTTTTTTAAATTTACTATAGTTCAGAGAACGTACTGTAAGAGGTAGGGCATTGTACATTTTAATATCAATAGTATCGTCCATTCTTTGTAACCGGGTTTGAGGTAAAATCAAATTATCTTTATTTCTAGTATTGTGACCGTGTATATCGGACACAACAGAGTAACTATTAATGTTTTGTTTGACACATAGTAACTTTACAAAAATTATCAGAGAGTAAAGTGTCATTATTTTCAACGTTTTAAAGATTGGTTTGCAGGAGTCTTCAAAATTAGCTCCTATGATACATCTTACAGCCCTCTTCTGAAAGACGAATATAGCATTTAAATGAAACTGAGCTGCCGAGCTCCAGACAGACAAGCCATATCTAATAATGGATTCGAACAGTGCATAATAAGTAGTTATTGCAGCGGATTGGTTAATAAGTTGTTTAACTTTCTTATAGCAAATACTGCACTATTTAGTCTATTGCAAATTGTATATATATGTATGTTCCATAATAGCCTGACATCTATATCTACACCCAGAAATTTAGTGTGCAGCATGTCTAGGTCGTTTTCTACATTGTAGAATAGCCTGGATTCGAAAATGAGACTTTTGGTTTTTTTTTCATTGAGTATGAGCTTGTTTGTCAAGAACCAGGTTTTTGCTTGTTCCATAACTTCCCCAAGTATTGTAGCCGGACACTCCCCTTTATTGATACTGATGCCAAATGTGGTGTCATCAGCATACATAATTGTCTCGATATTTGAGGAGAACATATTTGGGAAATCGTTTATATAAATAATAAAGAGAAGGGGGCCCAATATTGATCCCTGAGGAACTCTGACTGGTTTCAGTTGGTGGGAGATTTCATTGCATAGTTTGAGTTATAATGGTGGACCTATTAACCTGTTACTGCAAATTAACTACTAGATACGTATGTCAGTCTACTGGAATTAGTGAATCTGAATGAAGAAGCGTGATAAAGTTGAAAAAGGGTGCCCTGGAGTTAACTGATAACCAAAAGTCATTAGAGTTACTGAAACATTTTTTTTGACTCTATCTTTCTTGAAATGAACAAAAAGAAAAAGCAGACATTGGTAGAACAGGATATCATGAAATATAAGGCTTAAATACAAGAAAGCAGGTAGCAAGAAGAGTTTGAAAAAACACAAGCAATTTAATTGAATACAACTGGCCGATACTTGATGAAAATTCATATTAGAACTCATTAATACAGTTCATTATATGATTTTCACTACAGAGGGTTTTACAAAAACCGCGACACGTGTTTCGGTCAAGCGCTTGGGATAGCTATTGTATAGCGAAACACGTGTCGTGGTTTTTGTCAAACCCTATTGTCATAACATAACCTGTATTCATGAGTTTTTCCAAACAGTTTAAACAGAACAGTGCCTATATCTGAATGAGACCTAGATATTTTCGAAAGGTAACCTAAAAATGATTTGTGAGACGATAACGTGAAATTTTGTGAGGAGCTTGATCAAAAGTTATTGTCAACCAGAAGTCCAGATATAGAGCACCTCTAGTGGTACCCGAACTACCCCTAAATATGTTCAGCGACTTTTCATAGCTTTTCAGTTGTGATTTTTTTTTGATTCCTTGCCAAACTTTGCCAGACATTATATCATTGGTCATAGAGACATGACTTTTTTTTCAAAATTGGTGAACAATATGTTTTGCGGCTACCGAATTGATTGTGATACTATATTTCTGCATCACCTTCCTCTTGAAGACGATCACTTGGTGATAGAAACACGTGTTGAGGTGTTATTCATTTTTCCAGAACACACATGCTTTTTTTTTTCCCACCACATTAAAAGAATTGGACGAAGAAGGAAAATACGTATTGACGCGAGTCTAGGAGTCTAGTCCAACGTTTTATAGCTAAGAGTTGTATCCTCGACGAATATGCTATATTTGAAAAAGTTTGAGCATCCACCCTAAAAAATACTTACATAATACACTCAAATCGATCTCGGCTTTCAGCGGGGACTTCGACATAACGTTGCTTGCTTCGCACTTGTACCTCGCCTTGTCATCACTAGCATCTGCTGTGAAAGTATAAACGTTTTCGGATACTCTGCCAGCGGTTCTGTAGGCCATCCGAATCTGTTCCCCGTTTTTATACCAAATCAGTTGTGCCGGGGGATTACCGCCTCTGCTTCTACACACCAGTTCGACGGTCTGTCCTCTTCTTATCGTTTCTCCTTCGGTATAACCTTCGATGTAGGGCAGACCCGGAGGATATAGTACACTCAGCTGGACGGTGGTCCTCATGGGGATATCCTGCGACAGAGCTTCGTGTCTTGCTTCGCAGGTGTATTCCGCATAGTCGTCCTCGGCGGTTGGTTTCAGAGTTACTCTGGAGTGGGTGTCGTATCGGGTGATTCGTTTGTCACCGTTTTTACCCGGAACGTCGATGGTCTGGTCTTCGCGATTAGCTGTGAACAATAAAGTTTGGTAATAGGAAGAAATAAAAGAAATAAAAGTTTCCCGTCAACTTCATCGGGAGTCCTGACTCCTGACAGAAAATATGACAATCTGCATGTAACTAAATGGCAGATTTAAAACGAAGCATTACACTGTCCTTCATTTCCCTCCTCAAGTACCATAGCAGTCTTTCAATACAAGGGCATATGTATGACATCATGTATCTCCAATAATGCTTCAAAATGTCTAAAAACGTTTTACCCATGTATGGCAGTTAAGGGCACATTCTCCGTGTAATATTGAGCCTGACTTAGACTATAGGCTTTGATAAATTCGTGAATTACATATGCATCGTAACAAAAACCAGCCTTGATCCCGCTTAAAGTTGAGCCCGCCAGTTTGTCGACTTGAGTTAAACTTTACTAAACTAACCTAGCTTTCTGTCTGCGTTGAGGACTAGCAAGTATCATACAGGGAATGTTCCTCAATTCGGGTTATTACAGCAAATGCAAGTTTGAACAAAATAAAGTTGAGTTTAATTCATGAGTTTTTCAAATTCACTTCGAAAAGTATTCAAATTGATGTTTCAAATGTTGGGTTTTAATTTTTGAAGGGATTTGTTCCTAATTCACATATTGGCAACAGCGCCTATATAATTGAAATAATTTATATGTACCTAGATATTCTACTTTAAAAAAGGAAAATTATCTTTATAAATCAACCATTAAGGCAAAATATAAATTATAGTTCAATACCACCTCCACAAGCCACATAAACAACAGTTGTTTTGTTATTTATTTATATAGAGGAAGATAGGTTAGGTACACAAAATGTTATATGTCACAGAATGTCTCGGAACTCAGAACATAAGTAAACAGAACAGCACGCCTCTGAAATATCTTTGTTTGTCTCATACATGTAATAGATTCATTGTCCTTTATTAGCTATAACCGATGTTGCCAAATGGTGAAAAAGAAACGAATCCCTTTAAATGTTGAATGCATAATTTCATTCCTCTTTTTTAAGTATTTAAATATTTTTTTAAAGAAAAAGGTTGAATTAGAGCTCTTTTATGAAAACTACTTGATTTGCGTCAGGAGGAACATCTCCCATTTTACCCACAACATTCAATATTTACGGGTGGATCATGCATCAATTTTTTATTTTATATTAACACATATAGGTATAAGTATGGGGTATGAACGCTTCATTTGATTCACATTGTGAAAACTTACTAAAAATGAAAATGTATGATGTGCAATGCAAATAGTATTTCAAAAGTCTACTTATTTTGATTAGTTAATTGGATTTCTATTCTATTATGTGTTTTTTTTTCATAATGAGGATATTTTCTGTTTCCATGTACCAGAATTGAGTATCCAAAATATTGAATATTTTGTCTGTACCTGATATAGGTATGTTCATACCATCCAAAAGAGATGGAAGACCCCCGATCATGAGCATGAATGTAAGTGAGCTAAGGATGAACGAAAGATACCTCGGAATTCGGAATATTTGTCTGTACTTGTACAGAAGTACAGCCAGAAGAGATGAAAGATCCATGGTCATAGGCATAAATGGGAGTGAGTTAGGGCTAAGAATGATCGTAAGATGCCTCGGAATATTTTGTTTGTACCTAAAATATGTTCATACCAGCCAGAAGAGATGACCCCCGGTAATGAGCATGAATGGGAGTGGGTTAGAGGATGAACATAAGATAACTCGGAACCGTGAGGGACTCTAGGCTACTATTCATAGGCTACCACAAGGAGGTGAGAAAGAGGGTGAGTGAACTGGCAGGAAAACTGAGGAGCTTAGAAGGGAATATGTGAAGATGATTTGCGACAGGGTACTTAAACCTGCGGTTATGTATGGGGTGCAAGTATAGGGAAATAGAGTGAGGAGACAACTGAGCGCAGCACAGAGGCCCTTTCTTAACGTCTCATGTGGGGCGTACAGGACGACGCCGACGGCAGCGCTCATCGTACTTTTTGGTATAGCCCCACTACATGTGGAGTCACAGAAAGATACTGGGAATGGATCGCGAATGGCACAAAAAGATTGATGACGGAATGAGATAAGAGGACAGGGTATTCCCCTAGATTCAAGGAGCTTTGCTGGAAGAAGCGGGGCGTGAAGAGATGACTGAGGTGTAGGTGGACGCCGGAATAAGGATAGAGGACGTATGAAAAGACGAGCGTGAATGGGTAACAGGGAATGACAGGGTCACCGGATAGAGTAGTGTGAATGAGGCCGAGTTAAATGCAATCAGTGACTCAGCAGTGGCTGTAGAAAGTATGAACGTGGGGAGTGTGACAGATGAGAGAGTCGCATTAATTCAACGAATGATGGAGGAAATGAGAGAAAGGGAAGCACGGACATACATCGAATAGCGTAAGAGGCATGTAGTCAATGAAGTTGACAATAAAAAAGCACAAGAGAAAGTATGTAAAGGATTGGATGGAGAGAATGTAACGTGAGAGGTAAGGAAAATTGGAAGTGAGGATGGGGAGCGAAATAGAATAAAATAATGTATCATAGATGATTGGCAACGGAAATGGAAATGTAGCGCGACTGAGCGGCTGTTTTAGAGGATTTGTAAAATATTGGTTATGAATCTGTCGACGTATGCAGTACAGATACTGGTGGGGCATGACAACTTCCCGAAATACCTCACCAGGTTCAACCTAGGACCGTAAGTCCCGTGTTTCTGTAGATATCAGGAGCCGAAAACGGCAGATCATGTGATCGAGAGATGTATGGATGACGACAGGGCTGGATGGCGCAAATGGAAAGAATGTATGGAAAGAGAACATGGAGAGATTGAGTTGAGAGGATACAATGGAAAGAAGGACGAGTGAATACAGTTTGTAAAAGAGGCATATAATGTGGTGAGGAATTAACGAGAGGGATGAAAGGTGAGCTGTCTGCTTACTGCTTATCTGGAGATGTCGAGGAACAGGACTGAGATCCCAATCAAATTCCCAATCAAGGAGACCTTAGTTATAGGAACGTACATATGCTTATACAGACAACTTCATATGATTTGTTTTGTTTCGTTTACTGTGAATTTGAGGTGAGTGGTAAGTCGTAAGGGGGAGGGAGAATTCGGAGGAGTAGTGGTTTATTAATTGTAAAAAAAGTGAAAAAAATAAAGTAAGTCAAAATGATCAGAAAAAAATTTTTATACTGCATTATAATCATGTTATCTGTACGAACAGGAACAACAAAACGGTGTTTTTATGGAGTAGGTATGTAAAAGCCGATACACGATACAAATCATTCAAAACCAACACATACTATTTTTTATAAATTTTCCAAAGCCTTGTCTTGAATATCGCAAAAAAAATCAAATCATCAAGCAAATTACATATTGAAGCATGTGCAAAATGTGCGAAATGTGAATTATGAGTGAAAAAATATGGCAGGAGTGACATAGGCTTTAAATCTATTGATGATGTTACCAAGGATACTTTTATTTGCTCACTACATTTCATTGGAGAAAGTGGTCCAACTGAACAAAACCCTGATCCTTTAAGCTATCAGGAATTTCAACATACGTACATTATTCCTTATTGCATTTTTGACTGTAAATTTGATAAATTTCATATATATTATGTTGTATTAAATATTTCCTTCTGATAAAAATTACTGAACTAGAGATTGAGTTGAGAGGATACAATGGAAAGAAGGACGAGTGAATACAGTTTGTAAAAGAGGCATAGAATGTGGTGAGGAATTAACGAGAGGGATGAAAGGTGAGCTGTCTGCTTACTGCTTATCTGGAGATGTCGAGGAACAGGACTGAGATCCTAATCAAATTCCCAATCGGGGAGACCTTAGTTATAGGAACGTACAGATGCTTATACAGACAACTTTATATGATTTGTTTTGTTTCGTTCGCTTTCCATCACTGTGATAATTTTAAGGCGTTGCCACATGTATTTTAGGCTTTCGAAAGCTTGGCTTAAGTTAATATAGGGCACAAATCAACATTCAAAATGAGCTTAATTTTTCAGTTGAGCTCAGTAAATCTTGGCTATTTTTGCATGATATGCGAAGAATACGGGTAATAATAGAGAACATTGCATCTACTGTGGATTATTGTAATTTAATGTTATTGAAATTATCCGTGATTTTTTATATAATGTACGTTTTTCAGTTTTTGTTGTCTTTTTATGACTTGTATACATTAGTTTCGAAGTGAAAATAACATAATTTTATTTTAGACCATTTGCTTTTTCCATAAGAGGGAGCCAAAATGGAAAATTTCCTACTATAAATGAATGACGGGTGCCGGTCACTAAGAAACAGAGTAGGAGGTATGACAGTTGAGGTTATGATGAAAAACTGTCTCCCTTCAATTAAAGATCGACCTGTTTTTGTATTTTTTTTTGTCGAAAATGTGTCTTTAAGATAACAAATCTGTTTCGTTTTCGGTACAGAAACAATTAATTACCCAAGACTACCAAATAGTCATTCATTCGATTGTGGAAGAGATAACCGAAATGATTCTTCTCCATTATTCTGGATCCAATGTGGCAGAAGAACCCAGTAAATCTTTGTGAATGCCAAGTTTACGAACAAATAAAAATATTACTCACGTATATTAATTTCCACGTTTCCTCTGTACCAGACGATTTTCGCAGCGGGCTTGGCGTTTCTCACCCTGCATTCTAAATGAAATTCCTGATTCTCTTTTATTTCAATCTTTGAATTGTGTGAGTGGTCTAATATTTCAACTGAAGAGGGTGGAGCTGAAACAAAGAGAATGAAATTAGTTATTCGAACGCACTGATCGTTCGAAATATAAACTGAGCTTTGAGATCTCGTTTCAGTTTTTCCAAACGAATTGTTTATTTCACGAATACGATTTTTATTTTCAGGTGGTAGATAGGACATATTTTCGAAAGAGTATTAGTACAGTTTAGAGACGAAGCTGCTGAGATATATCTAACTTCATTTAAACTGAAAATTCTTATAAAGTGGTGAGATAAATACTTCAGAATTCTTCAGATGTACAGAATATGACAACGAATTGAATTGTAATGAAATTAGTATTACAAAAATCAACCATATATTTGTAAAATAACTTGAGTAGATACTTTGAAGCACGGCTTTATAATGGCTGTCTATTCAATAATAATGATATAGGTTTATTCATGACATTTTATAATATATACATCGGAAAAATAAATGAACCACCAGTTATTTTTATTAAGTACTTTTCTTGATTATTCACATATTGTCTTCAATCGAGGACCGCCTGCCCGGTACTGACGATGCCCAATAGGCTGAAACAGCTGTCTACCGGTGGCTCTCAAATTGAAATCAATATGGGGAAGATCAATTTATTTTCCTTTACTTTCAGTATTTTAATATTGAATGTGAGTCACAAAAAGGATTTTAAGCTTTATAACTTCTATTTAATTATCTGCGAGCGCTTTCGACAGCTGGTCGTACTGTCATCATCTAGATCCTTCTGGATTTACCTCCTTCTCACATCCTCACATTTTTCTGGAGAGAGAGGCTAGATGGATTGCATATAGGCTTGTGCACATTCCAAAATTGCACATTCCAATTGCACAAATAAATTTAATGCAGAGTGCAACAGACTGCTGGTTGGCACTGGCAACTGTAAACTACGATCTGCCTTATAAAGTACTGTTCCCGAGTAGAGAGGACTGGATCAACTGGGAGTAAGAAATATCAAGAGCAGATAGTTGTTAGTTCACCCTTCACCATCAAAAACCCTTCAGGTTCTGGTGCAGGTGTTTTCAGTCGCAGACACAGGGCAGAGATATCAACCTGCCTGGGAACCTACGCGGAGATAATCCAACCCCATACACACATCAATAAAATTATCCTCGGACAGTCAAGCAGCGTTGGAAGTTCTAGGCTCCTACCGAGCAACATCTAAATTGGTAGAAAATTGCTAAAAGCAACTCTTCCCGATAGGAAGACTCAACAGATTTTCTCTGGTCTGGATTACTGGCCATACTGACCTCTGAGACAACGGAGGGTACTGCAAGCAGCTTCATCGGACCAGAATCTTTTATTGACATCGCTTTAGGCTTTGCCAAACAAACATTCAATACCTGGATGGCAAAAAAATTAATGGACTTCTGGCAGAATCTTCCAGGATTGGCTTACTCCAAGGCGTTTATTCACCCTTCGAAGCTTGATACCAAACAGATGTTGGACTACAGTAGGAACGATCTACGATGTCTAACAGGCCTTCTCACAGGTCACTGTCATTTAAATCAGCATATGCAGGGACTCGGGCTGTCGGAAAACAGTGTGTGTCGCCTCCGTTTGGTTTGGTAGAGCGGTACTATCACTATCTGACATGAAAGACCACTTATCATACAAACTAATCGGCTTCGTTAAGAAACTGGGTTTATTTGGTCGAGTGTGAATAGGTGTGAGCCACAATAAACCCTTGCGGGTTGCGGTCGAGGGTCGAATATACCCACTTACTTTGGACCTAACCTAACCTACCTGGAGATAAATATCATTTAGTTCGAAAATCTTAATGAGAAGTGATATTTTCAAACCTTTATATTGAGGTGTATCTGTTTTACTAGATAAACTGTCAAATATAGGTACTATGCGTTTCATTTTTCTTTGTCAGTGGAATAGTGAGTGAATACTTATCAACTCACAATGGGACAGAACAGCTTTGAAGCATCGACCCTTTCACTGGCCCAATACAGGTCGTATAATGTCATCGACATTTGACAAATACCTACTACTTCCTATTGGGAGTTTCCAGATGAGAAAATGTCATGAAATAGTTCAATTGAAGAATACGTGAATTGGTAAAAGTTCCAATTTTTCATAAAAAACTGAACAAACATCGTTTGTTCTACATCAAGTTGTTTGAAAATATTTACATAGATGACGTCATGATGCCGCCATATTTAATTTGAAGAAAATTATTTTACCCCACCATTTTGAATAGAAATGTTCACTTGTGTTATATCGTTAGAAAGATAATTTTATATCCAATCGAATGACATGAAAATAAACAGGGTTCTTTTCAAAAATTTTGACTTGTGAGTTCATTTCCTGTCAACCAGTATAGATTTTCAATTGTTTCATTGATAGAAATATCGGTTTCATTAAACTATAATTTTGTTGCGTTTTTACCTCACAAACAACTCAGTGGCGTCGTATGCAATGATTTTTTTGTCACCTGGTATAAGTATACCAAGACCAAAATACTACTTGGAAAAAATTTCCCAATGTAGCAACGGATCAATTCGAATTTCGAATTGATGAAAAAAATCGACGGAGCATCAATACGGTTTACATACAAGCGAGTTTTTCATGTTTAATGTATACGTCCTGTTTTGAATTCAGAAAGCTTTTATATCTGTTCATTTACATTTTCGCGTTTCAAAGAGCAACGCAAAGAACTCTTTTCCATTCAAATACTTCTTTTGGTCCGTTTTCGTTTCCATACGCGTCATTGGAAAGACTCAAATAAATAACGAGCTCATTACCAGGATTTCTAATTACAGGAGAAACAAACAGATCGATTACCAGCCTGGAATTACACAGGTATATGATTCAATACACACACTAGTCTACACAATAGTTTTTTCTATCTACGTGAAATAAACGTTCAACATGGGATTTTTGTGTTGGGGCATTGTTCTGCAAAAACAAAACACATCTGGGCAATAGACATGATGATGGTAAGTAAAAATCACTGAAATGATGTATTCATTTTGTTCAGTTGACGATCTATTTATTTTGTGGAAATTCAGTAGTTGTTGCCCGTGGCTTCGCCTGCATAGAATTTGGTTTGTCACATTGCTTTTCGTGATTTTGAACAAATAGTTACACTATTTTTTTATTAATTGAAAACTTCAGGTTTCACTTCAAAACTGACGAAACTCAGTCTCCCATTTTCCCTCCTTGAATGTATAAATTCCTGATTCCCTTTCTTGATGCTTATTTATGCTATACAAAGAATCTTCCTGCATAAACTAAAAACTGACGAACATACAAAGCATAAGTCTATGGACTAAATACATAGTCGCAGACTTTTTGAAGACCTCCAAGGAGTTCCTAAGTAAAAATAAAGTTTCCCTAACATTCTTGACATTGGACTATTGAATCCATTATTGGAAGCATATGAGTACTCAACGAAAACAGCTCTGTCATCCCTTGTTACTCTTTGCTTGACTCTCAGGCCAACCAAAGAGAGAAGTTCTGGGCAATTAGTTTGGCCTTACAATAATTCAAATTGAAATATTAGGTCAGCCTGAATCCGCCTGTTTTTTAATGTGGTTAGATGTAGTGTAGAAAGAATAAATGTATGGTCTTTCAAAAAGCATTTGTAATTGCGTGTTGTGTTCTTTGAGACGAATTTTAATGGCTCGCTTAGTTTGACCGATATATTTTTGTCGAAGTCATAGCATAATTTATATATCTCTGAATCTTCATTTTCCAACAGTTTGTCTTCAGAGTGAGCAAGAAAATTTGAAGACTTCTTTTGTATACCTGTATAGAGTTCTTCATCACAACACAATATGTTCGGTATCACTTTGATCTTTTGGCAGACATCCTACAAAAACCCTATTAGAACACAGATATTACAAATGCAAAGGTCACCAGGTAATTACACAAGCGAAACACATCGATTACTAGCTCGAAATTACACCCGTACACACACATCAGCCTGATTGCGTTTCTGGAATGGTTTCAGTAAAAACAACAATTAGAGAAAACAATTAGTACGCCTCCGAGTAACGAAATTAAATTCAAGTCTTCATTACATCCATGCAACGTCTCGAGTCTCTTTAATACCGGGACCAACCAGTAACGAGTTGGTTTCTTGGGAATCATGTCATAGTCTAGTTCGAAAGTACCATTCTGAAATAAAAAATTGAATTACTTTTTCAAATGATCATTTTTATTTATTTTTCTATCATCGAAAATATCATTTTTGATGGTTGTCTTTATCATTGTCTGTTGTGCAAATGAGCACAAAACTTTCAGAATAACTTTTGTGAATGAGAGTACTGGGATCAGCCAGTAACGGGCTGGCTTCCTGGAAATCACATACCTCAGCGTCTCACTTAATTCCCTCAAATGTCAAACGTTACGTCAACCATAATTTTCTGTGGGGATGAGCTGAAAATGGATTTCGTTAACTGCACTATAGAATACTGGAAATAGCTAGTAACGAGCTGGCTTCTTGAGAATCACCTCATGTACTGTACCGTCTCACTCATCTCCTTTAATGTCTCACTTGATCAACTCAAATGTCTCATTTGATCACCACAAATGTCTCACTGGATTACCTCAGATGATTCCCAATCAATTGCCTCACTTAATCCTCATAAATATCAAATAACACCTGTCTCGAATATCTCCCTTGTTCTCCTATAATGTCAAATGACACATCAACCATAATTTTCTGTGAATATGAACTCGAAACTTTCAAAATAGCTCTTGTGAACTGGACTATAGAATATCGAGACTAGCCAGTAACCAGCTGGCTTCTTGGGAATCATCTCATCGTCTCACTCAATTTTCTCAAATGTCTCACTAAATCACCCCAAACACCTCACTTGATCGTCTCAAATGTCTCACTTGATTTCCTCAAAGGACTCATTTAATCCCCTCAAATGTCAAACTACACTTGAACCTTAATTTTCTGTGAAGGCGAGCTCAGAATGGTTTTTGTGAACTACACTATAAAATATCGGGACCAACCAGAAATGAGCTGGCTTCTTGGACG